ATCGAATCGAACGGAACCCAATTAGTTGAATTTGTAAATATGGGAAGATCGAAGAATTCAAAAAAGGTTAATTGGGCTTCAGATGTTAATCTCTATCAGGTAAATCCTCTAAAGGAATTTCTTCGTCTTATTTAATGATTTTCTATCCAATTTCAATATTGAAACTTTAAAAATAGAAAGATGGATAAGGGACGGTAAGTTGAGATTTTGATGGATTTTAAATTATTATATGAATTAAAATTAAAAGGAAAATTGTTGGTTTTTGATGGATGAAACTAAAAGGCTTGTGTATTTCTTGACATTGCATGTTAATTCTTTCATTTAAGTATTGCTTGATACAAGTAATAATCACTATCTTAGAATAAGTAATCAGATTGATGGAAAGCTGAAAGTAAAGAAACTAATAACTAAATAGAAAAATAAGGAAACAAGGAATACAATTCCTTTATGGAAGTTCAGCGTGGATATAAACAATGGACTTTGTTGAATGAGTTTAAGCTGAATAAGAAACTCAGTTACCATGAATGATTTTTTCTCTCTTTATGAATCTTAATTTTGTATGTTGATGATTGTATTGAACCTTTATAGCTGATGAATGTGAGAAATAGACTAGTCAGCAAAATTATCACTTGAAATTGTTGTCACATTCTGAGGTTGCATGAGCGGTGGTGGTCTTAAAATATAAGGATTGAGATTGAACATAAAAACCACATGGAATTTGTGAAGATTGTGGCCTCCTTTCTAGTTTGAGGACTCGACAGAAAAAGAAACTCAAAACAAATGGAAAGTGAATGACCAGAAGATTGTTATTTTTGTAATGGTGGAACTGACAATGGATCGATGTAGGTGGACCAGGAGGTTCTTCAGATATAAATGAGCCAGTATACTATGTTCAGAGGATACCACTAAATTGCAGCACCATGTGGAATGGTTGGTTTAGCTTTTGTCAGTATATTTGAGTGTTGCTGAAATTGTGAATGATCCTGAGATGGTCTTATTATGTTTGACAAGTATCTGTTGTTAGATGAAGCAAAAATGTTGACTCAATTTTTCTCTGTAGAAAAGCAGAGGAAAAGTTTAAGAAGTGAAGGAGATAAGGTTGATGTCATCGGTAAAACAAAAAATGAGATTCATCTGAAAATGAGGGTAGCCAACAGAGTATTTGATGTGAAAAAGGAGGAGGATCATGGTTCCAACTGACATTTATTTTTTCTTCTCAAATAGAGCGGTGCACCTTTTTGGGGAAAAAAATGAAATCTTGTTGTTTTCTTTTCCAGAGAGAGGTATCATTAACTAGTTGCTTAAGTAACCGAAACCAATGTGACTCTCATTTTTAGATTCATTTGAAACGGAATAGATAGGTTTGTTGATGATGTTACTGGTGGCACTTCGGCTAGTAAGATATATTTGGTTTACATCTAGTTGCAGACCTTTTAATAAATGAAATTCTAGTTCTAGTGAATCAGCAAACAAGGGATTCATGTAACTGACCCAGATCATACATATTTTCAATGATTTTTGTTGCCTGACCTCCAAAGTTTAGAATATTTATACTGATAGTCAGCTGAAGGGCCATTTACACTTATTACACTTATTTTGATGTTGAACGAGCACACGCACCTATAAATCGTTCTTAGTGCCTAGAAGATTGCCTTTTCCTAATTACACCCTTCATGTTTTCATTTTATTGACCTTTTGCAGCATTAGATAATTGATGCAATTTGATCATTTCTAATATTCTGGAATTTAGGGTGCAATTATATCAGCATACAAGAAAATATCAACCACGTACCTCTCCTTCTAATATTTTGAAGTGGCTCAACTGTGTAACAGAGATAGATTCTTTTGTGGTCTAAGATGAAAATGAATATCATACGCTTTTTATTTATGATAATTTCAACTGTGTTAGTAACTTCTTCTCTAGTTGTAGCTGTGAAGATTTGAAGTTAATCCTATATCATTTTTTGGCATTTAACCAAAATTTCCAGATCATAGGAATGTTTTAGTTTGAGAAGTCTCCCTTGTGGTACAATATCGTCTGATGAAGTTTCTAGGGGGTTGAAAGGGCTTAGTTATTTAAACAACTGAAGGCTAACTTGACTTGATAAGCAGCCATGGTGGCTAAATAATGCTAGTATTCCAGTTTGAACAATTGTTTATCTTGGGTTTCACTGACATTTGGGTTAGGTGGCTGACATATATCCTAGGGTAAAATGTATAGGAGTCTGCCATACTTTCATCAAATTTTGATTCCTTTTTTAATTTCTCTCTTTCTACTTCAATTTACTCGGTATACTTTCTGTTTGGATACATTTTCAAATGAATAGTAAATTATGGATCTTAGGCATGTTTAAAATTTAGTGGTAAAAATCAGAATGAATGAAGTAATGTATTTTGTTGATTCAAAGTATCTCTATTTTTTGTAACCTCCTTTCTGTGAATATTAGAATCTCTAACACTGATGGAACCTTAGAGGTGTCTTGAGTCATATGTGAAAAGTTGAATGCTGATAATCAGCCACTGGATAAAGTTTATTTTGTTATATTAAGGTGTCTCAATGTCTTGTGCTCTTCTTAATATTGAAGAAAATATGTGTTCCCCAACATTTGGTGTGGTGAGCGATTTGTAACCCATGAAAGATACAGTGAATCATTTAAATCAGAGAAATTCAATGGGCGTGTTGAAGTTTCTCGATCGTTGATGCGCTTTACCTTTTCTATTCATGCATCAGTTTAAGCCTCCATTTGGCCCCAATTATATTAAATTTTATTTTTCTCTCCCCTTATTTTGAACCACACAATCTTCCGTAAAATAATATTGCATATAAATAACATCTTCTTTTTCAACCACCCATTCTCCAAATATATATATATATATTATTCCGTCCATTAAAATTTGAAATAATGGGGGCCAAACGGGGGCTAAGTGTGCAATAATTTTTTCCTTCCTAACAAGGCTTCAACTTTCACATCCTTTGTCTCAAACTATTGTGGTTAAATAACAATCGAAATAATCAATGTATACCATGAAAAACAAATATGTATATTGAATAAAGAAGTGAGAAAAAGAAAAACGTATAAAGGAATTTCAATATCACTGGATATATCGAATCACTTGTCTATATTAATAGATAGTCATATTTATACTTAAAAATCCAAGTTGCTGACAATGGACACCAAACTTTTCCAATTGAAGCACTTGGTCCTAAATCAAAATGTATTGTCATTTGGATCACAAACTTTCATTTGTTGGTGCAAATTAATTCTGACTGGACGGAGACCATCTTTTTTTTGTGTTGCAAATTGGTCCAAACCCCAGGTTTCTTGAATCGAGGAAGAGAGAGTCCCCCCTTTTTGAGAAGGGTTTTGCGATTTCTGAGTGGGTGGAGGTGGGTAATGGAGGAGTTTGATGTTAGCACGTCAGAAATTGATGAATTTGAAGATAATCCTTTGTCCATTTTCATTTTACTATTTCAATTGTTTTTTTGGAGAAATGTTAAAAATTGATGAAAATAACCCTGCCATGAGTGTTCATGTGCACCTTATGTGACATTTACCAGAATTTTCGACAGTTTCTGCCTAGTGAGGATCAACTTGCACCAAAAATGGAAGTTTGGGTATCTGAATGTCAAGAAATTTTGATTGGGACCTAAGTGCTCTACGCTGCAAAGTTTGGGGACCATGACTGTAAATTATATAACTTCCCAAGCAAAATAGATAACTGCCGAAATTGAAAAATAAAATAAAATTTGAACTGGCTACGATGAGCCAAGTGATTGGGCTTAAGTTTTTTACACGTTCAAGGTGATGATGCTTAAAAGAAATACACTTGACATAACATCTCTCAATTCTCTATAGTAATATGAGCATCAACAAGCTTACAGTTTTTTGTCACTCAGCATGTGAATGGTTATGAAAGGCTTAGAATGATGTAGCATGAGACTAATCACTCAGTAAAGACACAAGGTCAATATTTTAGCAATGTGAAAAGTCATGGATGCCAAATTGCTATAAGCAAACTCAATTGTAGTTAAAACAAATTCTATTACTATTCACCAAGCAAGCATAAGTCCCCAAGATTACAATTAATAGTTTGAGTGTGGAAAACAAATGAATATTTTAGTGTGGTTCCAAATACTTTTCCAAAAAATAACTGGCTCGTGATATTTCTATCAAATACAATGGTAGAGGCTACTAGCGATCTCCTGGGAGATGATTTGATCAATGGCCACTAAACTTTGTTATAAATTACTACTTGTTCATCAATCTTTAAAATGTTACTCGTTGTTCATTAAACTTTGCTACAGGTTATTACTTACTCGTCAAAATTTAAAAGGTTATTCATTGCTTACTTAAATTCAAACAAAGTTACTTGTTGCTCGCTGAATTTTGCTATAAGTAACATTGATGAAAATGATATGGATTATTGATGGTAACTTTGTTCAAATTTTGGTAAACAACAAATAACTTTTTAAATTTCGATAAGCAAGTAGTAACCTGTAGCAAAGTTCAGTGAGCAAAGAGGTAATTATTCAAATTTCAATGAGCAAATAGTAACCATTGCAAAGTTCAGTAATCACTGATTAAATTAACTCATTTCCTGGAAAACAACTTGCCACATGCAAGGCTGTACAAGTTCTGGAACACAGAATAAAATGTCATTTGAGAAAGAATCATGAGTTCTAACAGCTATAGACAATCTTAGATTAAAATTCATGTAATGTCACATCACTTAAAGAGTAAGTGGAACTATACCTGGAGCATATAACCCAAAACTTTGTATGTTAGCCTTACTTTTCAAGTACCATATTGAAACTTGATTCTGGTAATATCTCGTTTCAGATAGTGCTAATAGAATCTGTCTATCACCAAGGCTAGGTCTACTCCCTACCAAAATATCACACTAACCCTCCTACATGTAATTCCTATGTTAAGAATTCTCTAAGTGAAGGATGAGAGGTACACTTTTAGTTCCTGTGAAAAGACAATCCTTCCAAAAAGTATGTGTAAACAACTTACTCATGAAATCATTATGTATCCCTAAAGGCTAAAGTAACCACTCCTATAAGTCATCCTAAGTTTGGAAGGCCTTTTGCATTCATGCCCTGGTCGAATCCTAATGTTATGGTATCTATTATGCAAATCTCTTTTGGAGAACTGCATCAAACCAACTAGCTCGTCCAACATATACTGGAAGCTTAGGAATAACCTATACTTCGCTCTGATTTTGTTATGGATTTAGCGTCCACACATGATTTCCAAGATCTGTCTTTCTTAGGAGGAAATAATATAGACTTAGCACAAGACTATGGTTATAATCAATGAACTCTCTTTAGTTATAACTTAGTAGTCCTCCTAGTCTATTCGACTTGGATCACTATGGAAACATCCTATAACAGAGAATTTTAGGCAATTATAATCCACGGATTAAGTTTATGGCAATAACTACATGTCTCTCATCAGTGGTAGCTCATGAGGAAATTCGTCACGTGTGGTATCTCTGGTTTCCTGTAATAAAGGTGTACATGATGGGGGCTCATGCTGGATTCAGAAGAAAGAAGAAAGCATTTTCTAGCAAAAACAACAAATATAGCACCGACTTCACGTCCTTCTTGCTCAAAGTTACTATGAGATACAAGTTGAATCATAGTTCTTATTGATCTCCTATAAGTGGGCTTCGCTACAGGCTTGCTGTTGAGAATTGAGGGTTTAACAGGTCTCAATACCAGTTTCTTATTTCTTTGATTAAAATCATGGGTTTTTTGCACTCAAAAGTTTTCCACATCAAAATCATGAGTGAAATCCATGAGTAATATATCACATTATAACTCCTATCAACAAGTCTCAACTTTAGTGGAGCTAGATATCTCTCTGCTGCGAAGAGGTTTTATCTATCTAAGCTACTTTGAAATGACAATGGTGGAGCGAAAGTTGAAGACCTAATTTAGAAATGTTAGATTTCAGCTTTAAGTTCAAAATGCTTCTTCCTTCAATCAAAAGTTTGCAAGACATGTCCTTGTAGTGCAACTAGACTTGAAATATTGTTGCACCCCCTGCATGCATTAGAGTCGGTGGGAAGATTTGTCTAATTACGGAGACTACTTTGTTGTCGTCCCTATAACCAACATTATTTTCCTAGTAGTCAGAAACTTCTATACGGTCAAAGGCAAAATGTTCATAATCTTCATTGATTGGAGTGTCAATGTCATCTACTATAATTTTAGATAATAAATTAGAATCTACTTTTTGTTTCTACTCTTGAAATAAGTGTTGACATGTCTTTAATTGAAATCTCCACCAGAATCTCCATCCCTTTCCCTTGGCTGACACAACTAGAATCCGGTGAGCTAAATTGTACATGTTATTGCTAAACCTAGATAAAGGAGAACTACATGCCTCTGGTTGGACAATCTGGTATATTGTTCTTTTTTCTGGAAAACCACATTCCTTTCCTTGCGGAGGATCTAGGAGATGACTTGTATGTCTTTTATTATCAATACACTCTGAGAGAATCTGCTATTTTTTATGTTACTGCCTCAGATATTTCTGTCTATTTTCATTTAAGGGTTGAGATTTTTTAGGAAACTGCTGAATAATATGTTTATGTAGCATGCATGCTCCCTTATTTTCTTTTTCAGTTTATTCTCTCTTACATGGGAGGGAAAATTGCTTCCTTGTCCTCATAGGGGTTAAGACTGAACTTACTGAATAAATGGAGTTAAATTAGCAAATGACTGCTCCAGTTTGTTTTGTATGGCTAATTTGAGGAGAACGTATAGATTATTCATGATCGTCTTCTAGCTAACTTGCTGTGGCCTTACCAAGGTCGTGGGTACTAGATGGAGATGCTTGAGCCTGCTCAATAGTTACAAAAGTCCCAAAGAATATTTAACTTATAAAAGTACTTTCTGATTAGTTGTTTGTTTTAGATATGACTGACAGTGTTCATATTGTTTAGTTGTTTGTTTGTTTGTTTTCATGTCCGTTATTAACGCCTAGTAGTTTCGTTTCTATTTATCATTGTTCATGTATCCTGTAGAATGTATATACAATCATGCACTTCATGGTTAACTATTTCTGGGATAAAATATACCTCAAGTTAATAGGCAGCATCTGTAGATTGAGTTAAACTAGTCAATTATTAGAGATAAAGCCTATTACTGTTCAATAGATTAATAACATTACTTCCATTAGGTAAGGCTGTTTTTGTCGGAAGAATCTCCTTCACAAGTTGCAGTTGAAACTCAAGACCATCTCCAGCCAAAGACTTTATGGTCAGTCCATACGGTTGGTGTTGTATCTGATGACAATTTGCCACCTGGCTTTGAAGAGCACCAGCCCAGAAATCTTTGGAGAAATAAGTTGTCCCAACTGCCTCTTATCAAATGGAGATGCCCTCCCAGAGTGAGTCATATGTTATTGTTGTGTTTGTAAAGATAAATATGCTAAAGCACAAAAGAATTATACTTGAAAGAATAGAGATTTTAGTGTGTCGACCCAAGTCCTCTGATTCGAATGTCAATAAAATCGTATTGTGAACACCAAATTGTGCTTTCTAAAACTTAAAACTTTATTAAATAAAATCATAAAATAGTGAGAGTGAACTCATAACTTAAAATTTTTTTAATCAAATAAATAAAAATAAATACTAGAATTTGTCTAAATCAATACTTAATAAATAATAATAAGCTTAGTGTGTTTTTTGTTTCTCGCTACTTCACTAGTCATCTCATGCCTCGATTGCCACGAACCTTTAATTTCCTGAAAGGGGATAAAGGGGAGAGAGAGAGATAAAATCTCAATTAGCATACAAGTACGTGGGTTGATATTTTGTACAAATTTTAAGGAACTTCACACATAAATAGGGAGATAAAAAAATTTAAAACGAACATATGTGATATGGAATTTTCATGCATAGCGCACTATACTCTGGTCAATCTTAGAACATACACAAAGGACCACATAATCCATGTTCCATATGTGCTTAGGAATAGAACATAGGATATGTATTTATAGGCACCACTATACTTTGAGAGTCCTAATCCAATGCAACTTTGAATTTTAAAAGTCATATAATTCTAACATTGTCTAACATTTTTTAAATTTTCGAGTTCTCTGAAAACATAATGAATTTAAAGGAAGATAGCATCATCTCAATCATTCTTAATATTAATTAAGATTTTTAACTCAAAAGAGATAAAATCAAAATATTATCTATCTATTTAAATTTCCAATTTAATTAAAAGAGATAAAATTAAAACATTATCTCGATCATCTTTAAAATTTCAATATAATTAAAAGAGAAAAAATAAAAATATTATCTCAACCACCGAAATTTTTCCTAAAAAGATACATTATTAAATAATTAAATAATAGACAACAATCTACATTTCTTTGAATATCAACATTTTAGGCTTAACTTGTACGAATTTAATTTTGGGAAAAAATCACAAGTCATATATTAAGTATGGACAATTCAAAAATCAGGTTTAATTTTAAAAATGCAAAAATCGGGTATTAGCTTATTAATTAAAAATATTTATTAATTAAATATAATAAGGTCACAATTATACAATTAATGGTCACATGTGCATAATTATAAGTCACATCTTATCAAATTAATTGGTCACAACAAATTTCGAGGCCACAAATCAAAACTTTTATTGGTTACAAATTATTTCGAGGTCGTAAATAAAAAAATTTATAGGTTATAATTTATTTCATTGGTCACAAATAAAAAAAATTACAAGTCATAATTTATACATTAGTCACATATTTTCAAATTTATTGGTCACAAATTAACAAATTTTAAGGTCACGGTTTAATATTTGGTCATGAATAACCAAATAATTAATCACATATATCAAATAGTGGGTCAGGTACTATCGCCGCCAACACTACAACCATAGCCACCGCTACTTGCAACCACCCTCACCCTGCGACTATCGCCAGCACCACAACACTACCACCATTGCACCACCGACATCATCATCACCATCACGGTCACTCTCACCGTCACCGTCGCCACCACCATCGTCAACCGTCATCACTACCACCTCACCATCATCACTGGCAACTCCACAATCACATACATTGTCGTTGAATCCTGCTCCAACAACCATCCACGTCACCATATCACCACTATCACCACCATCGCCACCACTACCTCACGAACACAAAACCATAGCCACCAACATCACCACCTCACACTATTACCACCATGACCAACCAGATCATCCAACCATCGCAACCTAACATCACAACCACTACCACCACCCAACTACAAACACCGTCACAATTGGCAAACCACCACCAACTATTCTCCAAAACTCTAGATTTTCATCACCACCACCTCGCCAACACAACACCACGGCCACCAACATGACTACCACCATGACCAACCAGATCATCTAACCACCGCAGCCAAACATCGCCACCACCACCACCACCACCCAACAATCAGCACCGCGACAATTTGCAAACCACCACCATTCCCCAAAACTCTAGATTTTCACCACCACTTTACTGCCAATACCCAAAAACTACCAAACAACAGATCGAAGTACCACTGAAGTGACGATACCCGAAAACACCCATAAACCATCACCTTATCGTAAACACCTAGAAACACCACGTCACCGCTGCTGCTTCGACGACCGGAGCGCGGACACATATCAGAGAGAAGCACCACATCCACGTTGCCATTCCCAATACCACATCCATGTCACATCGGTGAATCAAGGGGTGAGGATGATGGAGATGATGGAGGTGATCGATCAATGGGGATAATTCTGCGTCTGTGCATCACACTGGTGAATGAAAGGATGAAGGCGACGGTGATGATGGAGGTGGTCGATCAAAAGGGTGATTTGGCGTCTGTGAATGAAGGGGTGATTTGCACAACGTTGACGAACTACAAAATTCATCGGCACCAAAGGTTGGAATCGGCGTCGCTCAACGAGTACTCAGTCGGCTGGCCCAGCTCCTTTGTAGCCGGTTGTCGAAGTGAAGGGAGAGAAGAGACAAAAAAGAAGAGAGAGATGAGAGAAAGGTAAAAAGGAGGAAAAAGAAAAATGATTTAGAGTTATATTATATTGATACCTGATTTGTGAATGATGAAACTTCATACCTGAATTTTGAATTGTACTCTTTAAACCCCTGCTTTTATGTAATTTCCACATATATATCTAGGCCTGTTTGAGCCACATTCTTTCAAAAAAAAAAGACATTCTTAAACAGTAATTTGACATTATTTCAACCATACGTTCTTTAATAAAATAATATTACATGTAAATCCAAAAATTTTTCTTATTTTTTAACCACACATTTCGCATCAATACACTATTTAAAAATGCATTCTTATGAAAATAATGTGGCTCAAACAAGGGCTTAATTTTTCTTCAGCCTAAAAGGAAAAATAAAATAAAATATCTGGGCTATCATTCCACCTTATGGATTTTATTGTAACTGACAAGACTAAAATATTAACTGGTTCTGTTGTCTAAACTGGCCAAAGACAAGTTAATAAAATTAGGCCTATGTGTGCAAGGTGTTACAGAAAGGGGAAAAGGGGTGGAGTTTCAAAATAGACAGACTAAATTCCTCATTTTACTGATACAATGTACTCAGGCTTGACTCTAATAGAAACCTGAAATGATCTCACTTCACCAAGCAAACTTAAAAATAAATGATGGTTGGAACAAAATTTTCAATATACTATTACTGAAGTTTGATTACAAAGGAACTAATTATGCTATAAAAGAACAGATCTAAAATAGCAAATAAAACAGGAAATGACAAGGGTATGAGGACGTTAGAGAGGTCCACAACTCTCCCAATTGACTACCAAAATTTTGCCTCCATTCCCATAGCTCCATCCCTCTATTTAGAAGTGATTTTTGCCTCTCGATTACTCCTAACAGAATGATAACGTACCCTTGCTGCATTTGCCTTCTTTTCCTTGGTTGATTCCTTTATTGCCCTTGTTAGTTTATCACATGAGTTGGGGATCTATCATTACTCGCCTCCCTAAATTCACCTTGTCCTCAAGGTGAAAATTCAGACCAATTCTGAAAAATCTCATACATCCCAACTATACTCTTTACCCTGCCGGCCATGGTCAGTAACTTTAACCCACCTCCCAGTTTGAAAACCATAAGTATAGCACTCATGCAGACCTCATATCCCAGCGTCTTAGTTGTCTATAACTTCAGCTTCAGGACCAATCTTGTGGTAATGAAATTAGGGCATGCTATCACAGGAACCACTGCATCGGTATCCCCACTAAATGCCCAAATCCTGACACCAAAAACTATTAGTTCTTGGTAAATCGGAAGCATGGATAAATGAGAATTTGCCCCGTAGTTGCCAACCATATCCTTACAGTGCATTGGAAGTATGCTCGGGACATCCGTGGATAATGACCCTTTAATCTGCACTTAAGTGAAGATGTATCATTGCAAGGGAGGGTGTACATGCTATATGGGTCAATGTTCCCCTCCTCCTTTTCTGCAAGGGCAAAAGCCTTCACACATTCACTTGTAGGATGTGTAGCAGATCCAAAGTTACCAGTTACCCATAGAACTTTATAAGTAGAATTTGAAATTAAACCAGGAGTCCACCAATACTCGAATGTGCCAATGTAATCATGGTAATCATTAATAACAGCATTACCGACCATGGATTCCTTGAAATTACTTATTGGATGTTGAATTCCCTTGTTTCTTTCAAATATGATTTGAGATAACTAAGAAACATAATCTCCAGCATAACTTTCTCCTACAATGTAAAATTCTTTATGTTTGTATTGATGAAACCTTTCAAACCAATTGAGAAGAGAGCTGTATGCATCTTTAGTGTGATGTTCGATTGTATTCTTCTCCCTCCACCGGTGGTATAGTCGTTTCCTAAAGTGCAGGAGATCGAGGCTTGAAACTGGAGTAATCTGATGGTTTTTAGGGCTGTATGCCATTGTTTGGCCATTTATCTATATTTCATTTAAGCCCATTCCAACTTCAGCTGGCTTGATCGATATTATGGAGTCCTCTTGTCGCATGTTTAAAATTTAGTGGTAAAAATCAGAATGAATGAAGTAATGTATTTTGTTGATTCAAAGTATCTCTATTTTTTGTAACCTCCTTTCTGTGAATATTAGAATCTCTAACACTGATGGAACCTTAGAGGTGTCTTGAGTCATATGTGAAAAGTTGAATGCTGATAATCAGCCACTGGATAAAGTTTATTTTGTTATATTAAGGTGTCTCAATGTCTTGTGCTCTTCTTAATATTGAAGAAAATATGTGTTCCCCAACATTTGGTGTGGTGAGCGATTTGTAACCCATGAAAGATACAGTGAATCATTTAAATCAGAGAAATTCAATGGGCGTGTTGAAGTTTCTCGATCGTTGATGCGCTTTACCTTTTCTATTCATGCATCAGTTTAAGCCTCCATTTGGCCCCAATTATATTAAATTTTATTTTTCTCTCCCCTTATTTTGAACC